TGGCTCTAGCTTCTCAAATGTAACCATGTTTCAAACCAAAACTGAAGATCTTTCTTCGAATGCTATTTGACGATGTCACCCTGGGCTCAGGGAAATTGGAATGGCCTTTATCCAAAGCATACTCTATAGTTAAGAAATGATTATGTACCTTTCAGCCAGCCACTGGACTCAGTGTCCTGTCGCTGTGTTCTAAAAATCAACCTTCAGAAACTTGAGTGAAGCTGCCTTTATTTTTTATTCCAACTTTTACATTATCAGTGTGTGGTAGTTGTGAGACTGATTCGAATTGCTCTGACAATTTTCACCGTTTTAATGTCAGACTGATATTCAGGATCCTACAATTAACAGCACACTGATTGATATACCCTCATAGTAGCTCAGTACGTGTGAACACTGCTTACATATACATTACATTTGGGGTAAATATTGGACACATTTGACAGATACAACTCTCGGTTGTATTTAACTTGCCAAATTGCAGTCGACCCTTGAGAGCGAGGGGGCCCAGTCTACATATACATACTTATTATTCTTATCAGTTAATATGTATTGACTGATCCATTTCCAGGTTTCCACCAGTGAGCGAGGAGGCTGCTGTTGGAACCCAAGTGGGAGCCATCATGGCAGCTGCTGTCAATCAAACTATCATCTACTCTATCACTGACGGCAACGAGGGAGGTGAGTATACTCTGAGCTTTTTATAGGCAGAGTGGTGCCTTTTGTGGGTTTCAGTTGTGGGGTTTGCTGACCGCTAAAGTTCATTTATACCATTAAATTATGTACAGGGTTATTAGCAGTTATTATCTTATATAGCATTTCTTTAGCAAGGCCACCAGTTGTGTGGAGACAGAGCATACATGTTGAAACCATAACAATTTTTTTGAAAATGTTTACCCAAATACTCATACCCATTTACACCTAATCCATCTTGGGCATCTAAGACAAGTTAATTCAGGAAGTGGTTTGAGACACATCCTAGCCAGATACAGAAAAAGGGGTGATTGGATCCATCTCTCCAAGACGCACGTGTAAACGTTACAAACTCTTGGTTTACTCTTAAGACAGTTAAAACATGTAATGAAGGTAACAAAAAATAAGTTCAATAGGATATCTGTTCTCTAGGTATAAACCACAAATTGGGTTATTTACAGAATGTGCTCTATATCTCACCAATGACATTTGACACCTTGCTGTCACTTACTTCTGCTTCCTTTCAGGCCCCAACTGCTATAACAAGTCTCAATTCTGTATTTGCCTCGTGATTGAATACCTCATGTTGTTTATTTTAGCAGCTACGGCTAATATTGTGCACAGGCAGATTGTGGCGTGTTTAGTCAACTTAGTGATTATAGGAACAACTTTTGTTTATCTAACGTTGCTGATTAATACCATATTATTGTAGCCTATATTAAGTCCATAGGTAATTTGTGGGGGGTCCTTGTCCTTCATTTCATCTGGTTATGAAACACTTGAAATTGAAATTTTAATTACATTGGATCTTATTTAAACAATGTTTAAACTCTCTCTGTCAGCAGCTCAGGACACACTACCTTCTTTCCATTTACTATCTCACTGATTTATACAAGAAAATTCTATCCCACTGTGTCTCTTTTTGACCTTTCTCTCCTGTTATTTGCTCTCTGTGTCTTTGATCCAACCTTCCCCACTCTCACTGTCTTTTCTTTATCTCCATTTCTCGTTCTCTCTCCAGGTGCGTTTGCATTAAACGTAACGACGGGAGTGATTTCGACAGCCAAGCCCCTGGACTATGAGGCCAATTCCAGCTACGTTCTGAAGGTAGAAGCGGACTCCATGAGAGTGGGGTCCTCAAACTTTCGAGCTCCCTCTAAGAGTAAGTGTGTGGTTGTATTTATGAACTCTCCGCCTCTAAACTTACTTTTGACATCGGATTGCATCATCGCAGATTCTCTTCTCTCTAATTACACACACAGACACACACACACACACACACACACACACACACACACACACACTTAAGGATTAAAAATAACAGCCACTACTTGATAATAATCGCCCCAGGCTGTAGCTTTCTCTCTTGCACATACACTTATCTCTCTCTGTGTCATACTCTCTGGAGCGCTCTAATTTTACCTAGTTTTTTCCAACTCCTCTCCTTGTCCATACAGTTATGTCTTGGAAGACATGTTCTATTGGGCCTTGGCTGTTGTTGTTACCCTTCACGTAGCTTTTCCCCTCTCTCAGCTGTCTATCAAATCTGTATGCTTCCACCAGTTTGTTGTTGTGCTGTTGCTGTTTTAAAATGCTGGCCTTTCCTCCTCCTGCTAGATATGGGTCTCATTGGCTGTCCCAAGTCTTTACTGAAATGCAGTTATGTAGCTTTCCGGAATTTAACTCTCAAATATGAAAACATGTTTGCAATGATCAAAGTTGCCAAATATAGCTGCCGTGCAGTTTGGAAGATTTTATCTGTAAGGCTGTAGCTTTTTTTTCCCAAACACTGGTACAGAGCGATTCTTACAGGTCAAGTTAGTGTTAAATTGCACTGAACCTGTTAGTCTGTCAGTCTGTATAAGCCTCGTTTATTGTATTTCTTTTTGTACTTTTCTCTTTCTTCATTCTGTCTTATTTTTGTTTAATTTCTCTCCTCATTTCAATCCATCCAAAAAGGAATTTTCCTTCAGGTGCATGTGGTGGGAAAGACCGACCACAACAATTTTTTTTACGGTTTTAATTGACATTATAGCTGAAGTGAAAATGACTCTAATTAGTCTCTATCTCTTCCCCCTCTATCCCTTTTCTTCTTCTTGCCTCTTCTCTCTGCCTTTTTTATTCCTGTCTCTCTCTGCTGGTCTGTTTTCTCCTTTTTAGTTTGAAAACATGTATGTGCATTCTTCTTAATTGATGCTCAGCTCCCCGGGTTTCTCTTTCTTTTTTAATTATAGCATTTACCACATGCTGTTCTCATTTCATCCAACTATTTGAATTCAAGCATTCTTTGAAGATTAAAACTACAAATCATTGTAGTCATTAGCAAATCTCCTTGAATGCTTTTTGGTACGCATTTTAATCAGGCAACAAATCAATAGGATTCTAACAATGTGTTAATCCGGTTTTCTAACTCAAGTGAAGGTTGGAATCGTAAATAGACATTTTGGTATGGTCTCTCATTGGCTGTTGTAAATAAGCAGATTAATGTTTGCATCTGCTTGTTTGTTTTGAGCTTTTCTTTTTATGTGCCCAAGTTTTTAATGTGTTTTTCTTTTGTCTTCACTTCACTTCACTTTACATTACTGGGATTTCTTCTTTCTTTCTGACACATGATTCACCCTTTCACAGAGTTGGTTGATGTCATTGTGTTGCAGTTTCATGTGGGTGTGATTCACATCTCCCAGTTTTTGTCTGGATAAGGCTGAATGTGACTCATTCCAAGTTGCAATCACTGAATGTGAATGACAGAGGTTCATTGGCACAATGTTTTGTTTTATACTGAATGTGTAGCTTGGTTGAATTACTGTGATGTTTAATCTCTTCTTGCTCATTTAAGATTAAGATTTTCCAATGCAGTTTGCAAATGCAAAACTTGATTTTCAACCTTGGCACAGACATTATTTTTGAACGTTTTTGACTTGGAAAGGTCATGATGTCGACTGCAACATTCTCAGTAGTCATGACCTGTGAAGTTCCTTGATGCATAGTATATCTCAAAAATGTTATCAGACGGATCAGAGCAAGGTCACCTCTACTGCCGCATCCCTAGACATTTAGCTGTTCTTTATATTTCTCACGGCACATTTTCAGAATCTGTAAATGTCTTCTGTCAGCTCTGGAAGTGAAGCTAAAAATCCTTTAGTCGTTACTCACTCTACTTTCCAACTTTTGATCACTATGGAACATTTCCTGAAGAGCAATTTTATCAGCTTATCGCTATGATTAATGGGGTCACTTTTTAGTGTTTAAGTTAGAACAGTTTTGGTTATTTTACATGACAGATTTGTGTTTTATCTGTGCTCATCTCACTGGTTTGAAGTGGCCAGAGCTCAGCTGGTACTATGTGATCTCATATACTTCCGCGCACCAATCACAGTTTAGGAATATTCAAACCAAATTGTGATGACAGCTGTGAAGCTGTTAACACTAATATCAAATCTAATCAAACCACATACACACAGTCCTGATGAAGCAGATAAGCTGACCTTTTTTAATATAATATTTTTGTCCCTAAATTTGAACTTTGACTGCTGCTTATTTATTGACAATTTAATGTTGCAGAGATTTGAAACCTTTTTTAAACTCTCCTTGTCTCTGCTGTCTCATCTTTGTTTTCTCTAAATGCTGCAGATCACCTCATGGGAATGGGCTGAAACTTTGGCTAAACAAATGTTCCCACCAGGAGAGGCTGTTCAATCATTGTCAGACGAGTTTTACTCTTGCCAGCCTGCACAAGAAGATAGAAAAGGAATTCAAAAGCAGAACAAATTTAGACCTGTAGTGTATACATGTGAATATTATCATCTACAAGCAAGGTAGTAATAGCTGCTGCAATTGTATGCTTGTGACATTGCCTGCAAAAGCTATGACTTTCCCTGTTCGTAGATGTCTACATCTGCAGGTCTAAATGGTATGTGGCTGATATGAGGCACATTGTTGGACTGCAGGTTCAGAACTGTTGGCCTGCAATTGCAGGATGATACTGGCTGGTCTAGGTCAGGGGTGATCTACATAAATGACTGTGTTAGTCCTTTATAATTTCTGTATTGTTTGCTTTTTTACTCCGCAGCTTGTTCCTTTAGTATAAAAAAGGCTTTGTGTGTCTCTTGAGACAACATAAGCTCCCTTTTTCTGCATTTTGTAATGCCAAATTCAAAGGTGTAACATAATGTGTAAATTGTGTGTGTGTGTGTGTCCTCTAGCTAACACAGCTAAGGTGATAATTGACATCCTGGATGAGAACGACCACCCGCCAGTTTTCAGCAGATCTCTTTACATCGGAGGGGTTGCAGAAGATGCAAAAACTTTCACCTCCGTCTTGCAAGTACAGGTAAAGACATTCACACACATACATATACAACCAAACTGCGGGGGGTTGATAAAAATATGGGAACACGTGACAATATAATGTTAATAATAAAGCAAAGCCTATGTGCCAGTTTAGGCAACCCAACTCGAGTCACCTCTACACCCACAGGGCACACTCCTAAGACTGCAACATATATCCAACAAATGATTTTAATCATGGCGGATTACTTAAGCCATCAGTGCTCTGCTCACTCTTTGGCTGCATGCCTGATGCCACGCCGCTCACCTGAAAGCTATGACGCTGCTTTCTGCTGTTGTTCATATACATTTTAAAAAGCCCAGCGGAATCCATCTGTAGGCTTTGAGTCCACCTTACTTTAGAGAGGGAAGTTTTCATTGTTAAACCCCACTCACTGCTGTGCTGAGCTTAATGGTACATATTCCACATTTATACAATAATCCGTGTGAATTGGTTGACTGAATTGCTATTGCCTTGCAATAAATAATAAAGTCTTTGTAAAGGTTATGATGTTTAGTTTTTTCCTGTCATAGATGTGTGAATTCAACTCTAGGCTTTAGTCTGTGATAGTGTTCCTTTAACTTGTCCCCTATTTTGTTACCAGCTCTTGGTTAAAAGAATATCCCTGAGTTTAATGTGAGACACTTAAAATTACAGTTCAGTTACGATGCCTTTGTGGATTTGCGTGATCGTATTTGTGTTGTTTATTTTAAATGAAGGCAATAATCAGTCCAGTAAGTAACAAGATTAACTGGTAAGATTATTTCCTGTCTCTGCATTTCCCTCGACATCTACCTCTATCTCTCTCTTAATTGATACATCTCTTTGTTCATCTCTTTGTTTCCCTTTCTTTTTACCTAACTCAGGAGAATTCCATATCACTGTAAACAACATTAAAATGCCTTTCAGGACCCAAAATGGGTCACAGAGTCTATTTCTTTTAGCCTCTATCTAAGAAGTAGCAATATGTTTTAATGAGCCTGAATGCCACAAGAGACTCGGGCAGGGTCTCTAGCAAAAAAGTATGTTCTTTAATATTTTATTACAGTTTTTAAGATCATTCTAAGATATTCCTGCTTCATTAGATCATTCAGAGTGAGAGTGACATGGAAGATGAGAGAATAAGGGAGAGCAGGCAATAAAGAGTGATATTTGAAATCACAGTTTCACAAAAGTGTAGAAAATGTGCTTTTCTTACTAGTAAACCTTGAGTTTCAAATTATTATTCCTCTGCTGCAAACACCTGAGGTGGTGGTTTTGCATATGGATTTTCAGTGTTAATACTACATTTGGCTGGAGCTGGTTTACAGTAACCTGCTTTACAGTCACCTGACCTCTGTGAATACATGAGCAGACTTACAGAAAGAACTAATAGCCTGCTAGTAGGCTCAATCACCTCAGGGAGACAGTAGATCTGAAGGTTGGAAGGAAGAGAGAGGATTGATGGTTAGATAAAGATAACTGGCATCCTGCTGAGAGACAAACTGACTGGACAGAAGAAGACAGGGAAGACATACATGATTCATGGGAGGATGAATAGTTGGAGTCGGAGGGGGGATGTGGGACTAGAGAGATGGACAGGGGCGCTGGCGGCACATTTGTGAACTACTAGATGAAAGTGTGAGTGAGACAAAAGATGGAGAGAAAGTTGTGCATTTTCAATCTTAGTGGTTTCACTCAAGTATAACTAATTCCATCACATCTGTCTGAAGCACGCACGTTGTCTTAATGAGTTTCGTGTGTGTAGCAAGCTGCATGTTGTGTGTGTGTGTGTGTGTGTATAGGCTCATGCAGGGCTGTCATGCCTTCAGTGTACGTGTTCAAGTACACGTGCAGGAGTTCTGTCTTCTTGTCCCTCAGAGGGTTGCCAGAACACAGATATTGATTAGATTGCAGATGAGTCTCACATTAGCAAACCTACTCATTACCTGCAAAGATACCTTTTTTCTTCTAATTCAATTTGAGTCACACTTCCCCACCACACCGATGCAAGTGCAGAGCTGTTGAATTTACCCTTCTATCTTTCTCCAGCTTGTTCTTCTCCCTTTTAATTAATATTTCCAGCCCTCCCTTTCAGTGGGTGTTTATACCAAAAATAGCCCTACATTAATGTGGGAAGATCAAGAAGGAAGAATACAAGACTTGACAAAACATGTAGTAAACACAAGTAAAAAGGGGTCATGCAACTATGGAAAATTACCACAGCAACAAATATTTTATTATCCATCATCACAATCCAAAGGTAAACAGTTGAACTACATCAATCATGTTACAAAAAAAAAAGCCAATTTGGAATGTGGGCTAGCATGTATTGATTGGCAAACACGACACCTTGCCAGATGATGTTGTCTTTTCCATATTTTTGCCAGCGCAACCCCACAGTGCTTTCGTTAATGAAGGGGCTGGATTTTTTTCACACAATGTTGTCGTTGGTCTGAACTTGGCCTGACTCACCAAGTGAATCAGTCATCCTTTAAACTGCTTTTGAATGAGCCTCAGGTGTGCAGGGGGCTCAGAGTGGTTGTTTTTATTTTAGCCTCCACATTGTTGATTTCCTCTCATAAAGGGCAAAGTACTGGATGGGAAGGGCTTTAACAGCACCGAAATGTTTACAGCACTTGCTAACATTGTTAAAGTGCTACGTCAGTGTATTTGTTTTTTGGAGGATATTTTGTTTTATGCTATTAAAGTGATGCCAAAGGGCTGTCCACTTCTAACTGAGTGAAAGACACATAAAGGGGATATGCTGATAGTGAAGAAGTAAAAAGCTATTTTCCAGTTTCATACTAATTGTATACAATATATACACCTATCTTTACATTATGCTGTTTTTAGAGTTAGTATACAATAAATAAACATACTTTAATGATTTAATTTACAGGAAATGAGGCAATGTGTGCACTCAAACTGCGACTTTATAATGACAATTAGAGGGGTGCCAGTTAAAGGTATGTGTAACAGTTAGGAGGTTCTATTGGCAGAAGTTGAATATAATATTCACAACCGCCATGTAGAATCACTGTGTTAGTAGCCAAGAAAGGACAAAGCAAACACTGGCTTTACATAGGGGCGTTCATGTTTTTTGCACGTTGCGCAGGCACTGTAATTTCTCCATCGCGATTAGAAGGAGAGGGTTAGATGCCAGTAAATCTTACACACTAGTCCTTTAAAGAGATAGTAAAATGACAGCACTTTTTGGTTTTTGGAAGTGTTCCCTCTAGCTGTTTCACCACCAACCAGAATTATGCTTTCTTTTTCTTTAAATTAAGCTAAAAAATCAAGGGTACTTTTAAGTATTTTGCCACTTTTCCAGTATGAACACATTAAATGTTGAAAACCTGCTTTGAATAGGTATGTAAGTGGACAGTTGGTTGATATTAGCAGTATTAATGCATTGCTAAAAGGTTATCCTAACTTACCTCTGCAAATAAGAACACAACAAAATAGATCTGTACATATTTTCTTCCATCTCCTCATCTTTCTATATGTGTGCTTCCATTTCTTTATTCCCTAGCTATAATAAAAATAATTTTCTTTTTGTTTCTTCTATTATATTGTTACCTCTTGATGGTGTGTGTCTCAGAGCTGAATCTATAGTCTATATTCTCAGCCCCTCTTAAAGACCCGGCAATAAATCAATGTCTGTCTGAGTGTGTGTCTGGATGTGAATGTGGGGTTTGCATGTATGTGTGAACGAGCGAGAGACTTGATAGTAAGCCAGACTGACAGAACAGATGAATAGACCCGCACACAGCTCAAAGCACCACTTTACCCCCTACTGCTGATTCAGAGTACTACATCAAACAGTACAAGTACTGAAGCAGGTTTCCCTCACGAGAAAACAAATTCGGGACAGGATATCCGTTGATCAATATAGCAGTGCTGTGTATTGATCAGCTGCACAAATACCTGGAATCAAATGAGGAGGTGGAGGGCTGTCATGATGTAATCATCACAGATCAAAGAATTGATTATAACAATAATGGCAACAGTGACTTGATCAAAGTGTTGTTTGCATGGATGATGATGATGACATTTCATTATAATAGTGATTATGATCATTATAATTCTGATTATAATTAATAATTATTAAAATAATTGTATAATAATGCCACTGCTTGGTGATTCTTATTTTCCTCATTTTACAGGCCCTGGACCAAGACACTGGTAACTACAGTTCTATGATGTACCGGCTGATCATTCCCCCTCCTGCTGGTAAAGATACTAAGGATAGCAAAGATGGCTTCGTCATCGAACCGTACAGCGGCGTGGTGAAGACGGCAATCATGTACCGCAACATGAGGAGGTCATATTTTAAGTTTGAGGTGGTTGCCACAGACAACTATGGTCAAGGACACAGCAGCAAGGCGGAGATAGTGGTGTGTATATTTACATTTTTGACATTGGTGACAGGTTTATTATCATTTCCTGTATTTCATCTTATATTCTACATTTTCCTTAAAACAAACTGAATGGCATGATTGAAACAATGGGATTTATGTCGCTCCCAGAATGTCCTTGAAGGAGATAAAAATGTGAGAACCAATTCAAAGTGTCACTAGCTTGAAGCATAGTAGTTGGATTGGAAATGTTATTATTCCCAATACAAGCTTTTTCCAGTGATCAAGGTGCCATCTGATAGAGTTTAGTGAAATTATTCACAGCTGAACATGCTGTTTTCCGCCCAATTTAAATGCAGAAACCAGTTTTATTTGCATCTTTTGCTGTGTAGGTGTCGGTTGTGAACCAGCTGGACATGCAGGTGGTCGTATCAAATGTCCCCCCAACTTATGTGGAGAAAAACAAAGACAAGCTGCTCAGGTAACGTACATTCTCCCACATTTCCACGTTCTTCCACTTTTTTAATATAATGTATTAATAAATCACCTATAGCATTAAGCTGGTTGTGCTATGTGTACCTACACCAGTACGTATGAGTCAACATTTCTTATACTGATGCTCTTGTCTAGAAAGCAGGCAGTTTTGGTTCAACACGTACCATCAACATTGCAAATAGCTGTTGATGGACAGCCTGTTTGTTGAACCAATGACCCTAAAATTTACGGTTAGACTCTAAACAGTTGTCCTCTGATCTTGGAAACACAACTATTTTTATATTATAATACACCACAATATGTAATTTCATAGAACAGCAGAGTGATAAAGGTGAAGAACACATCTTGCTATCCATACGTACATTGTCATTAACAGTTGAAGTTCTAGTTCCATGTTTCTATTAGAGTGGGTGTATTAAGTTAAAAGTTTAATCAACAGTCATACAGTAATGCAATTAAGTTTTAACCTTGATTTGATGCCATTTTAGCTTCTTTAGTCATACAAGGTTCCTCTATATTTGATTTAGCTTTGGTACGTCTTCAAGGACTGAAGCTGTAATTGCTACCATGGGGAAATCAACAAGACTTGATAAAGAGCACAAACAGTCTTATGTATAAAAATCGCATTTTTATCATAATGAAGTGTCCTAAGTAAGAGTGAAGCTCAAAGTGCTTTGTTGAGCTAGAACCCATACTGGGACTGTAACAGGGACAGGCATCAGACCACCACAGCTAGACCACAGATACAGAGGAAGCAATGTCCCTGTTAATGTAATAAAGAAGGCTAGCCCAGATCCTTGTATGTGAATATGAACAGCCAGGAATGTTTTTAGAATATATTTCCACAATGTTGATTTTTTTAAATTGTACCTGTTACTGTTACCTATGCCACCAGATAGCTCCTTTCTAATCCTCCCCCACCTTCTGTCCCTTGAAGCCAACACGAACTAATAAAAAATATTCCTTGCTAAGTTCAAAACATTTGGGGCTCGAGCCCTGAAAACATGACCTTATCAACACCACAATGACAGCTGGAATGTGAGATACTCTGACTTTGCTCCAATGGAGCTCAGCTTGTTTGAGGAATTGGCTTGAAAGTAATATCTCCCTCCACAGTCCATCAAATATATATTCATTCATTTGAAGAAAGGAAAGATGTTAATACTAAACATAAACTGCATTATTCATTATATGATATGATATTTCTGCCATGTGCACCAACAGACAAACACTGTACCACAGCTCAGGTTGCTTCTTTTGCCTCTAACACATAGCTTGATAATGATGTTTTAAAGCCCTTACCTTCTTTACTCTCTCCTTTACTCACGTTCTTTCTCTCTTACACACACATATAAACACACCTTGAAGGGACCCTTCCTGTTTCCGGGGGGACAGAAATCAATATTGCACAGCAAGAACCTGCTTAGCTGACGAGATGAAAAAAATGTGTGTTGTGTGATTTAGTGTGTCTGTTTGGTGTGTCTGCTGTGACTGGTGTCTGAGGGCTTTTTTTTTGTATATGTGTGTATCCAGAAGAAGTTAGTGAAGTGTGATCCATCAATCAAAATCCATCATTTGTCATCCTCAGCATTTTGGAGCGCTATGTCCAGGAACAGATACCAGGTGCAAAGGTTGTCGTGGAAACCATCGGGCCCAATCGCCATGGCGATGGAATGGAGCAGGAAGACTACACCAAGTCGGACCTGATGATTTATGCTATCGACCCGCTGACAAATAGAGCTGTATCTAGACAGGAACTCTACAAGTAAGAACTTTGCCAACAAATCCATGAAAGTAAAATGGCAGCTCTCCAATAGCTTTATATCATAAAATGGGACAGGACCTAACTTAAATTTCATCGCAATTAAGTAATTCCTAAATTAATTGACCTCAGTTAGTTTTTTGGAGTGCTGCCAGTCACACAAGTTTACAGGTTCTGTTGACTGTTGAAGTCAATCTTGTACTTTCTGACAGCTCATTCAAACAAGACGCAAAGTTTCGCCAGTCCTCTCTTTCACTGGGAGCTACTTTAAGGATAAGGAGTCAGGAAATACAAACACACACATAAAAACTGCGAAACAGAGTAGAACAGTACAAATGAGTAGGTGTGTGTTTGTGTGATTTTTAGCATGAAACTCCGCTGCTTGGATAAGTTTTTGACATCTAGCTGGCAGAGTTCTGGCCTTCAACACCACGCATTAACACTGGCATCACTTGCACTGAGTAATAGAGGTTAATGTCTAGTGCCTAATTGCAAATTTACATGGTCTCAGTTACATCATTGTGTTACTCCTCACTAGGTTCCTTGATGGTAAACTCTTGGACATAAATAAAGAGTTCCAGCCCTTCCTCCCTCCTGGTGGACGGATTCTGGAGATCCGAACCCCTGAAGTCGTTACCAGCGTAAAGAAAGCAGTGCAGACTGTAGGCTACACAGAGGGGGCACTGTTGGCTCTGGCAGTTATCATCATTATCTGCTGTGTCCCTGCCATACTGATCGTCATTATCACCTACAGACAGTAAGTGTGAATTTATGTGCAAATGTGGAATAAAAATGGCTCTTTAATCAGGGACAATTTAGACTAATAGTGTTTAAAGGATTAGGCTGGCGATAGTCCATACTTTCTTTCTATCAACAAATCCCATAAAGAGACCAAAACCAACAGTGCAACAATAATTGCCTGTGTAGCCAAAGCCTGATAGCTTACTTCTCTGTACTATAGACTTCCAGTAATGTTCAAAAAACTATTTAAAACACGTAATGTACACTTTTGCACTGGGTCGCATGTTCCTGAAAATGGGCACTGTAGTATGTTTTAAGTGATGTGCAGTGATCCGCAATTGAAAATAGTGCTACTCAATTTTAATATATAGGTTTAGGTCCTCAAAATATGTCTAAAAAAGTAGGATTTGACTTGAAAAAGGAAAATGCTAGCAAAGCAACAAAACAAGCCATTTAGAAAATGTATGAATTTCTTTTAAGAGAATGCAGACAGTCAGAAAAATAGACAAAGCTGGCAGTCTCTCCCACAGGACGTCCTTTTGCGCTATTTATCATTTTATCACCTGGGCCAGTCGCTTCCCAAGATGATTCAGCATGGCAGCCTGTCCCGCAGTGCCAATTCTAATAGTTTGTTTAGCTAACCACCGTGAAAGGCTATTAATTTCATATGTCTCCTAAACACACATAAACAAGCACACACACACACACACACACACACATTTAAACTGGATCACTGCATTTTGGAGGGAGCTACTCATCCTGAGACAAATAGAGAGTGAGGAGAGGAGATTTGAAGACAGGAAAACAGAGTAGTAATCATCAGCATAATGATCACTAGTCTTTGTTGCTAAATGACTATAATGAAGACCAACAGTCCAACTTGCTTGTAAATTACAATAAGTAATCCTGAATAACAAGAGGTGCTGTGTGATTTATGTTTCAAATAGTCACTAATCCTTCTCTCTCTTTCCCTGTCTCTTGTCTGATGCTTCTGCCGCCACCAGATTCAAAGAGTGAGTACTCCTTTCATATTCTCAATCTAAAATATTAACGTCATCGCTGTCTTAAACACCTTTCATTGTGATTAATCTGTTGACTTTCATTGTACAATAAAATGGATGAGATCTGAAAGGGTGTTGAAACAGAAAGGACAGCGGACAATCAGACAAATTAATCCTGAAGAACATGGAATCAGTAAATGTCCAAGGACTGATGCTTTTATCACAGTGCGTCTGTGTGTGGTCATTTAAGACGATTATGTTCGTGAACAAGATTACCAGTCGGTTATTTAAAAAGAGACAACGTAACTTTTGAGAGAAGAAATAACATAATTTTTCCCTTTACAAATGAAAAGTTAAATAATGAATTCATAATGAATCCAACACATGCTCACTAGATTTAAGGAACTCTTTAGCTTTGCTGATAGAGCATTATGTGGTCTGACCAGTAGCTTACACTGGCTAATGTTAGCAATTATGATATATTTTGCTCTGCCTATTTGTGGGCTTTATGAACCCTTGTGTTACGATGTTTTACCTAGGCCCCAGTAAAGGAATTTCCGTTGCAGTGATTGAGGGCAGCTCAACAGTTGTATTGCCGCCATTGTTAGTGCAAATTACTCTGTAAGGAGTAAAACTGGATACTTCATCTTAGTACCTGCTTGTACTACTCACCTGCAGTCTCCCTTCTTCTGTTAACCCGAATAAAGTCGCCAGTTAGTTCCTGAAAGTTGCAAATTAACTCACTCATTAAACCAAAACAGTGGCAAGCTGCACGACATGAATGCCACAGCTGATAATTGACGAACCAGTTGGAATTTTCTACAAAAAGACTGTTAGTGTTTCCAGTTAGGAGTTTTTCCAGAGTGAGTGAGGTGGAGGCTATGAGCTCTTTCTCCTGTGTGGTATTGTAATCCTAGGCTACTGAGTAGCTCTGCATTTCAGACACAGCTTCTACTGTATAAAGTCTTTCCAGCTTATCCGCTCTGAGACACTTTTATATCTTAAAACGTGCGGTCATGACGGTGGCTTGCCCATTCCCTGCGGCTGGCTTGTCAATAGCACGGTATTTTATTATTGTGGTTATTGCAGCAGCCCTAGTTTTAGCTTGTCACGGTTTAATATTTCAAAGGTTTTGGACTAATGTAAAACAGTAAAAAAGTAAAATAGGAATTGAATATGCTGTACCAAGAAATCCATTTTTGTTCCAGCTTGTGGTCCCATTCCACAAGCTCCAGAATCATTATGCTGTTATCTTGTAATTGCCATTTACAGCCACAATGGACTTTCTTCATCGTATATATGTTACATAGTCTTGCTTTAATATCCATCAAGTCATGTAGAGAGGCACGTCAAACAATTTGTCAATGAATCACAGATTGTATATTCAGATAAGATGATAATGCTAGAAACTTGTTAATATTGCATATTGTTAAAACACACAAAAGGAGCAACTGACATAAGGATTTGCTTCAGGATACAGATTGGAATGGATGTGCCAGGGGTTGAAATCCTGAAACCTGTGACCTTTCAGACAAAGAAAGAAGTTATAAGCCCTCCCACACTGATTATGACCATTTTTCTACTTTCTAAGGTCAGGGTTTTACTCTAACTTTAGATAACTAACCCTGTGTTTCCTCTCTGCTGTGTCCAGACGCCAGGCAGAGTGTGCCAAAACAGCCCGAATCCAGATGGCACTGCCAACAGGCAAACCTGGGGGAGGCACTGCCAACAACCTGTATGAGGAGCTGGGCGACAATGCCATGTAAGTGAAGTGTGAAAGTGGCATTTGCATTGATGAGCCAAAGCAGAGGCATTAGCTCACATTTCTATGGCTGTTAAACTTCAGCCTTTGGCTGTGTGCCTTTTCATGCTTTGTGGTATCCACACATCCAGTCAATCCTATCTCCCTACGTTTTAACTCAATATGGAAAATAGCTCTGCAAATATACTTGTATCTTTCATTCCCTACAGACCGAAGCTATTATTCTCAAGGTAAGGCTAAGCACAAGTCCCATATTTTCCAAATTTCACCTCTCTCATGCATTAAAAATGAGAAGGCAATGATAAAAAAAAAACACAAAGTAACTGGAAATAACAGGAAAGTATAAATAAGATAAAACATATAAACAAGATGACAAAAGCCAGGAAGACATCTAAATTGTGTTTCAATTTCAAAACATGGACTGTAAGGCCTGTAGCAGGTTGGGATGCTGTAAAAGCTTCACAGTTAATTAGAGTTCACCCTCAAACACAATAACAAACTCGATCTATCTTAGCTCAAGAGTGCAACAACGCAGAAAAAGAAAGTGATGAAGATGTTAGTAGTGGAAACCAAAATGCATTGGTGCAAAAGTGATCAAAAGTTGGTCAACTTTGGTTGTTTTTAAAGTGCTTAACAAATAAAGTTGGATTGGATTGGATTGGATCTTAAATAACACAGCCCAATCACACCAGCAGTAACTCTCGGATGGGGACAGCAGACTTGGTGTTCTTTGGGTCACTGATCGACACACATCCACATCATCTACAGACTTGTTGAACAACCATATTTAAAGGCTTGCCAACGTAGACCAGCTATTAAACTAATTGGTCAAAGTCTTGAGCCAGTTTCACGTCAGACTGATAAATGATAAGATGGCTGTGCTCACACAAAATGGCAGAGTGTTTCAGCCAGTGAAGACTGTTCTTAAACATTTAGTAAAATTACGTTCCTCCAACCATTTATTGAAAGTTTTAAGTAAATCATACATAACTGTCTTTGAAGACTGATTAAAGCATGCTTAGAAATATAGCATTTCACTGAAATATAACTTGTTGATTCACCCCACCACTTTCCCAAATCACTCCTAAACTGGGAGCCCTTGAAAGGATTTATCTGCATTAAAATGTCCCTCAGACTGTTGTGAATGTGGCCTCATAGTTGTTTTTGTGGTCTAGAGACATTTTCTTTCCTTCATCTTACATTTTGCTGTAGCCAAAGAAACTGACATTATGTGGAGACCGACGTAATCCGGATTAATCAAGGAGGGCCTTGTAACCCCACATCAAACTAACACCAAAAAAGCTCACATTTCTGAATACATTAACCGTCATAGATAAACCCTGCAATTTTATCTTCACAGACTTCAGTGACATTCTGCTCTTTCCTTGTCAGTTTCCCAGTTGTTATGCATACCAATGTCCTCACCATGCAAAAGATAAAATAAAGGTCAACCATCAGCCCAGGGGACAATATTCAGTTTGAATACAGCCTCTCAAGTTTACTTCAAGATTTGGACATGGATTGGTGGCTCTCAATAACACAAAAACAAAAAAAGTACCCGAAATGTATCCTCTAAGAATGACCTTTCTTTTCTTGACTTTTCTGAATGTTCTGAAGTAATTTTTGAGTGTTGCTAATCATAAGACTGTAAATGTATGGCTAGTAAATTAAGGCAATATAACAATGCTTTTTGAGGATTATGTGAAATTACTTTTTAATAATTCGGTCCTACGTCTCAACTCCCATCAGTGCAGAAGCACATTATTACTACTTACTCTACACTGCCTAAGAAAGTTGCTATATTATTGTGCAATTTAGTCATATTCTCTTCACCACTTACTGTAGGCCCCTGGGTTCTGTGCATCTTTTAGCACATTTTGTTTAATTTATCCTCTTGCCGATTTCTCTTAGTTTGGTTAAACAAGAGTCTAACAGTGACTGTATGTAGAGACCCCGTATTAACTTTTATCGGAAAGTTTTAACAACCTCACACACACACACTCTCACTCACTCAGGCACCACACAGTTCATTTATAATTCTTTACTGGAGCGTTAAGAAGAATTTGAGAGGAACTCTTATCAGCATTACATGCATCACAGGTTTCCTGTCTGTCCTTGATATGCCTCCCCACTCCCATTAACATGAGAGCAATTCATATGCAAGATGGAATAAACTATCTCGAAATGACAACAAGGGATTTCCAACTGTGTGAGGGAGAGTGAGTGTGTGTGTGTGTGTGCACGTGTGTGAGACTAAACAGCCCAGACGGTCCCCTGAAAAATGTGTGCGGAAATGAACTTGGATATGAGATAATTGAAATAAATGCAGCCCGTAATTTATAAAGACCACCCTGGGCGATAATTAATTCAATTGATAAGCTACAGAGCTTGTTTAATTGTGGTGGGGAAGGTCTTTTGTGTGTGTGTTTGCAAAGTATGCAGTTTCTTGGGATTTCTTGTGTAATAAGTGTGTATGTGTGTGTGTTTGTAGCTGTGTGTGTGTTCTGTATCACTGTAATCTTGTAGGAACTAAATAATCCCTAAAGAGTATAAAACCTGGCAAAGTGCAAAAGTTTGCACATTCATAATTAAGGTCCATTATCAAACTGCTCAGTAGACTGATTTTCGAGGCATTTTTCCCCTTTTAATTACCTTTGGCTGTTCTCTTGACAGGCTTGGGTTTTAATGTCTGTTTTCAATTACCTATGTGAAATTAAGTGTTCTTTAATGTATTATTAGCAGCACATTAAATGAAGCATGTTTTTTTTTAAAAGTTAATAGTTGTGCAACAGCACGTTATTATCATCACTTGTGCTGTGTCAGTAACTTGATATGTATCATATGCCTCCCTACTTTTGATGATTATTTTGTTTTGACTTATTCACTGGAGTATTTCCATATTTCCATGCTAACGATCACTGTAGGGTTTTTGTTGTTGCTCTTTTTATTTTTTTGTTTGTTTATTTTTTACATAATTCTCACAGTTAATGACTCCCATTAAATTTCAAATGGTAGAAAACAGCTTAACAACTTCAGCGTATAAAGTAAAATACAAAAGCTTGTTCACAATTATATTGAAAATGTTGAACAATCATTAACTGAACTAAGACTATGTTCTTTATCTCATAGCAAGCATAGTGGTATGGCAATTAAGTTATGACTTGAAAGTTGTGTTTCCCAGACAGACAGTGGAAACTAACTAAAAAATATTCTTCCTTCTCTCAACAACTGATATCAAAGGTTTTTACCTTGGACGTAATCAGCAGTACATGGTTTTCATTGTATGAGGCATCCGCCATGTCCAGGAATAGCTGTGTATTGTGCAAGACTGGATTTTTCAAAACTATCTTGGACAAGTAAATCCTAAAGACATTTCGTCATGTGACAGCGAAACAGATCAATCCAGTGTTCTCCCTACTTGTTTACACTGATTTGTTATTATATATAACATTATTACATATTATACTATATAGACCTTTTCTACTATCTCTTCTCTTTCACAACTTCGATTTTTTTAACATCCTCCTTTCCTATCATTTCATCACTATACTTTTCCTGTTTTCTCTCATCCACTCTCGTTGACTCATCTGTCCACCTTGTCTTCTTCTCATCCATCCACTTTTATCCATGGCTGACAGACAAAAGTGAGTAGGATGCTGAAAATTGTTTCACCTCTGTGACTAGTTTGATACTATGCTGTGACAGTTTTCTTGCTTTAGTTTTGTGTTTGTGTCTGTGCTTGTTCATCGTTCCTTAATTTACCTGCAGGGTAAGTTGTACTTTGGTAGATCAGAGAGCAAAGTTGTGTTGCTGCAGCTGAAGGTTAGTTGTGCTCTTAGCGGATCTGTGATGAATTAGTTGCATTGGTTATCTCTGCATAGAAATAGGCAGCCATGTGCCACGGAGTACCAAGAGTCTGCAGAGTTTGAACAAAGTCTAAAAACTACACGAGAGATTTCACGGATTAGTGCTCCTTCAACCAGAAAGAGGATATAATCAGTCTTTTGTTGGAAGGAAATCTGCATACTCTCAGAACTCCATGACACACAGTTGTCTATCCCTGCCCCAAAGATTCCTGGCATTGTTTATAGTCGTGATGCAGAAGCGTCTTTGTAGTGCACCACTTTAGGCGAATATACAATCTATTTGCATTCTTATCCTTTGTGTTTCAAGACTATTTTTTAGTGCTCCATCTCTCGCACAGTAAAAACGACACAGAAAGAAAATGCCGTTACCTCTTTCAAGATCCCTCCTCCATTTCCTTCTCATTCCCTTATTCATTCATCTCTTAATGTGAAGTCTCTTTTCATTTCATTTATCAAAAAACAGCTCTAGCAGAGTTGTGTTGTTTTATCTGCCTTTCTCTCATTCTTGGTATCCGTCTTTTGTCACTCCCCTTTATAAAACATTTTATTTAACCATTCTGTGCATTACTGCTTTTTCATTTAAATTTCATTCAGTCCCAATCTCCCTCCTTCATATCATTTGGCTTTCATTTATATAATTACATTTTTCAAACTCACTATACCCTCCTCTCCTTCATATTGTATCTTTATCTTTATCTTATTCTTTTATTATTTCTCCCTTCAATTCATCTTTTTTTTCTCATTTTTTCTTCCATTCATGTACCAGCCGGTCAAACAATAGTGGTGGTGGAGGAAGTCATGGTGACAGTCATGGTGACAGTCGTGGTGGAAGTCATGGCAGTCTTGATGAAAGCGACCGCCAACGTCTGATCTCAGATTTTGCGACACGAGCGATCGCTGCTCATCGTCAGTGCGTTGCTAACGGAGGGGTGCTAAACAACCTGCCCAAGTCTGAGTCCAACATCACCTTTCTCTCTGATGAAAACCCACTGACTATCAAAAATCCTATCTACCATGAGGACGGGACTTTGAGTAGCCCAGAGACTCATGGAAGAAGCCAGAGGAGAAGAGACCTTCTTGGGAATTTCTCCCCTTCCAGGAAAGGCCTTCGAGAGGCCTGGCTGAGGCTGAGCT